TTTTTTTTTGCTTACTGATATATTCTTTGTATTCATCTAGAATGTGCTGATGGAGGTACCAGAAGTAATTTTACAGATACTTTCGTTGCGAGAACATATGGCTCAAGGGCTCGACTCGTCACTACTTTACTGCTACGCTTCGCTCATGGCTTTGAACGCTTTTGTCGCGTTTTATCACATTCAATTTCGCTGGAACGAGTCCACGCTTCATCATATTCTGAAAGATTCCATGTAAGTTATTTCGATAGATTCGATCGTACATTTCTGACAGCAATCCTACCTTTTGTATTGTTATTTTAGAGTGGATGCAGCGTTTGCCGTCTTCTTTCCGGCTCTCATTCTGCTGTACTCTCTGTCCGTCTTTCAGGATGATCTTAAATCCGTGAAAATCCGCCAGCAGTTCTTCCCACCTCGTGTGTTTGAGCGCAAAGCTCGCAACCTGGTCAACGCGAAAGAGCTCAACATGTTCAGTACCGACTTCGAAAGTCTTCTGGTTTACAGCGAATGGGACGTGTTCCTCAAACTGAGTTTCAGTCTGCTAGCGTGTATTCGCTGGAACAAGATCACGCATCTGCTTCTTCAACGCGAGCATAAAAATCCAAAACCACAAGAAAAATCTACAGAACGGGAACAAAAATCACCTACAAAAAGAAATTATGATGCCGTGGCTCCGTTGGATGCGGGAAAATCTCCACGTGACACTGAGCAACCCGGATGTTATCTGAGCACCAGACTACGGACACTGGTTGGACTTTGTTTCTTAATCTACGGCGTCGGGTGTCTCGTATACACTGGAATATCCATAAAAGTATCTCAATCGTCCTGTTTGCGATACCCAACATGCGTCCAATTCGCTTATCGATGGCTTCCTGGCGGCTCAACGGATATTTGTGAATGTCTGGCGTACGTCGACCGCGATTTGGCACCAGCAGATGCTGAAAATCTGACAGATATTACCGACACACTGGCATTCTTAGCGTCTGCGGGGAAGCTTCAAACCATACAGCTCGTGAACCGCAGGATCAATGGATCGCTTCCAGACGAACTTAAAAATTGTCAATCCCTTCGAAATGTGTAAGTTGCGAAAAGTTGAAATATCCTGCTACGAAGTACTAACTAAGTCCATACTTTCGTTTGCAATAGGGTTTTGATTCACACTGGAGTCGAAGTATTCCCAGCCTGGGTTTCGGCATCTTTTTCCAAGCTAGAATATCTGTACGATATTTTGTATGTTCTCTTAAATTTTATGCTATTTAATTAACAGCGTTAATATTACTGTAGGCATGTTGAAGGCGAGTCAACAGATACGAATCTTGTGGAGCTACCGAGTGATCTCTTTACCTCCATGGCAAATCTCCACACAATTCACCTTTCGTACCATGCCAATCTCCCAAGTCTCCCCTCTATGACTGGTCTGAAAACCCTCGAAAGCGTATATTTTGGATTCCTCGATTCCATCAAAGCGATCCCTTCAACCGGAGATCTCCCAGAGATCCAAGTGGTGGCATTGGAGGGTCTCCCACTCGTCCGCTCGCTTCCAAATGTTGCACAGTACGAGAGTACACTCGAGATGGTGTTCGTACAAGATGTTCCAGCCTGTTGTAGCGGATTCCTGAGTGATGGTGACTGTAACACAACCTTTCCAAGTTGTTGTGGAGAGTTCGGAAGTAAAAATGGCAGCGATACTGGCAGTGTCTTACCTCCCACTTGTATCATTCTCCCTGATGAAGAATCTTTACTACCGACGAATACAACCCTGTCGCTTCTCAGTCAATTTGCTGCCAACGTTTCCAACTTTTGTGAAGCAGAACAGGCAACATGTCCAAATACTATTAAATCTAATAAGCGTCGTGAGAAGGATATCTGTCAAGGTGTACTCTATCGCGAGTGTTCGTCACTGTCTGAAGGACCAGGAATGTGCTTCAACGAGGATATGGGGCGTGTCCAGTGCACATACTCGCAATCGATCATCGACATGCGGAAGGCTGAAATTGCAGCTGGATGTAGCTGTGATGAGGTGGAGGAACAATGGCTCGGATGTACAGCATGATAAGAGTAGTTGTCAACATTTTCATATGAAATATCTACTTCGAAGTACTCAAGACCGTGTTGATTTTTGAAATTTAACCGTAGTGTCCGCCAGAAGAGCCATGATGTCCAGCTCCATGATGCGCACTGTGGTGGACTACCCCGGTGTAGTGCTTGCTTCCAGGGATATATCCGCCACTATGGTGCACACCACGCAGAGGGGTGAAGATGCTCCTGGCTTCGACATAGGTCTTGAATCGCTCAGGAGGCAGCATTGCTTGGCGTTTCGTGCACTGTCTGAAAGCATGCTTCTCTTCAGTCCGATCACCTTTGCATCAAGTGGGGACACTGTTTCCCATTCTCGTGGCAGCAAACTCTCAACCAACTGACGCCGGAAATATGCGGAATGAAACCGAAGAATCAATGCCGTAGTCGTGGTACAGTACATCCGTCTTCTGGATCCAGGTAAGGAACAGTGATAGCGTTCACATAGCATCAACAACTACGAAGTAAAGAATGACTTTATTCAATTGATACTTTACGCACTCGAGTTGAAATCCAAACTTCTCTTCACGATGTGTTGACTCGACATATGAAGTGTCGACCAGCCCAACCCCATCGCAAATCCGCTTGTTCGTGGTGGTGCCGGCGTGTGTATCAACCGACATACGGAAGAGCGATGGGCTTTTCGTTTCCAGCTCCAACACCGGCAGCAACGGAGACCATCGATTCCTTCATTTTAGCCACCATCACGTTGATCCGGTGCACTCACCTAGGAAATGAGCCCCGACTATGGAAATCGAGCCGCTTTGGTGTTGAGACGCGCAAACGTTGACCAAGGCGGACGTAGACGTCGCCACGTGCAATCGTACCCACGAGAGTATTCTCTGTTTGGGGCAGTGAAAGCCACTCGATCACCCCCAAAAGTTATCGCGACGGACACTTTCGTTCGCCGTGTTTCCCGTTGCTCAGCATGGCTGCGATGACCCCGTCCGAGCCGCGTCGCTCGGCTTTCTTCACGCTCGAGGACGCCAAGATCAGCTTCAGTATCATCTGCTGCATCTGTGGCATCGGCACGCTCGCTATGCCCTCCAATTTTGCCCGTGCCGGACCCGTATACGGCACCATTGCGATGAGTTTTATGGCCTTCGC